TCTTGGCTCGCTGCAACCTCTGCCTTCTGGGTTCAAGCAATTCTCCTGCCTCAGCCTCCTGAGTAGCTGGGATTACAAGCGCCTGCTACCACGCCTGGCTAATTTTTGTGTTTTTAGTAGAGATGGGGTTTCACCATGTCGGCCAGGCTGGTCTCAAACTCCTGACCTCCAGTGATCCACCTGCCTCGGCCTCCCAAAGTGCTGAGATTATAGGCGTGAGCCACCGCGCCTGGCCGAGGAGGATAATTTTCAAGAAAAAGATATCAAAATGGACTCTAGAAGACATAGAAAATCTACACAGATCAATAGCACAGAACAGAGAAAGCTGTCAGAGAGCAAAATTCCCCAAAATATACAAGCTTAAACACTTTCATATGAAGTTCTACTAAATCTTTAAAGAACAGATAATTCAAAAGATAAATTAGTCTTAGCATAGAAAAAAAAATGATCTTTTTGAAAGCAAAAATTTATGTCTTTGAAACAAGTATGACTTAGATAAGAAAATCTAACAGACCACACATATAACATCTACAGACAAATAGTACAGGGATATCAATAAAACAAACCCAGGTGTTCATCACTCTATTCTCTCTACTTCTGTAAATGTTTAAGGTCTAAATCTCTCATGCACAACATAAAGAATATATAACATAAAATTGTACTGTATTTGAGATTCATGCTAAATGAGTAGATTTTGGCTGATCTTGCCCAAAAATAAAAAAGGGTAACTATGTGAGATGATAGATATGTTGATTTATTTCACTGTAGTAACCTTTTAACTATCTATACATATCCCATAACATCATGCTGTATACCTTAATAATACACAATAAAATTTATGGATGTATTTACCTATGCATGTACATCCCCCAGGCTGGAGTGCAGTGGCACAAACACAGCTCACTGCAGCTTCAATCTGGGCTCGAGCCATCCTCCTGCCTCAGCCTCCCGAGTAGCTAGGACCCAGGTGTGTGCCAACACCACTCCCGGCTAATTTTTTTATTTTGTAGCAACAGGATCTCGCTATATTGCCCAGGCTGGTCTCAAACTCCTAGTCTCAAGCCATCCTCTGCCTTGTCCTCTCAAAGCACTGAATTAAAGGCAACTGCCTACGTTTTTTTTAAATTTCTATAATAAAAACTAAAATAAAGACATCTTCTATCTAGATATACCATTTTTTCACCTATCAAAAGTTTGACAATAATGTGGTAAAGGCGTAGGAAAATAGGGACTCTCAGAAACTTCAAGCAAGAGGGAAAACAGACAATGTTTATGGAAAGCAATTTGACAATGTTTGTCAAAATTACAAATGCACATACCTGTTGACGCAGCAGTCCCACATTTAGGAATCTGTCCTATATATACACCCGGACATGCATGAAATTACAATGCAGACAATAATTCACTGGAGGGAAGGTTGTCATAGCAAAGACTGGAAACAACCTATTAACTAGACATCAATAAGGAGAGTTGGCTAATAAATTCTGGTACATTCATATAACCAAATTCTCAGAAGCCATAAAAAAGAAAAACAAAGTTATGCGGGTACAGATATAGAAAGGTCTCTCTAAGGTATTAACCTCAAAAAACAAGGTACAGACAAAGGTATAAACTGCCATTTAAGCAAAAGAAGGGAGGCCAGTAGGCAGAAGTGGGAAGCAGGCTTTTACAGAAAAGTCCTTTTGCATCTTCTGAATTTGGAACCATGTGACTGTAATCTTAGGCCCCAAAGAAAATCTCATTTTAAAAAACGCCATCCTTTGCAAAGTACTATTGCCATTATAAATTTAAAAACCATTTAGAATACTTGTTATTCTTGCTATATTTGCTAACTATGTGGCAGGCTATATTTCAAGTCAAGATGGAGTTCAAGAAACTTTCATTATTTTAAAAGGCATAGAGAAATACTGCACATAGATGAAAGGGGACCAGTAGATCAGACAGAAGATCATCTGATGAATGGTGCCTAACCCTGGATATGCTTTAGAATGACACAGGGCTCTCCTAAAAATACCAATGCTCCGCACTCCACCCCCAGCACCCCCAGACCATTTACAACAAAAATTCCGGGTATGAGGCCCTGGCCTGAAAACCACTCATGTAAACACTTCCAAACAGCGGTTCAACAGAAGTCCAGAGGACATTTTGCTCCCCCAGGGGACATTTGTCAATGACTGAAGACATGTTTGGTTGTCACAACTTGGAGTGGGAAGTGTTCATGGCATCTAGTGGGGAGAGGCCAGGAATGTAGCTCAACTTCCCACAGTGTACAAGACTGCTCCTACCAAAATTACCTGGCCTGAAATGGCAAGAGTGCTGAGGTTTGGGAACCCCTGCTTTAAAATAAAATTGCTGCTTCTGAAGTAACCACCAGTTTGAGCTGCCACTTTTAAATATAGGAAATAATCTCCTTCTTTACTGATGTGCCATACACTCACATTAAGAAAGCTATTTACCAAGGTTGTAGCAAACTATGTACATCCTGCGTATCTTCTTTCTCTGGTCCCTGTCTAGTTACTATAGTCGAAATGTATGTCCCATTTGTAAAGTACCCATGGAGAAAGGCATAAAGTTCATAAATTAGCAGCCTGTGGCCCAACTTGATCCATCTGTGTATTTTGTTTATGCCAAAGTTCTCTTAAAATATCCTGAATTGGTGCCAATCAGCTGCCCCTTTGGAGCTAGCCATATACCAGGAATTTGTCACAGTCCTCATCTCATGCTTATCCACTGCCTGCTACTTGGTGCTTTCAGCATCCGAGTTGGCCCTCTCCCGCAGTTTTCTCCAATCATACAGGGACATGAAGCCTCTTCACTCCTCCTCTCTCCTCACCTTAAAAATATCCAACACCCATTCTGAATTCTCCAACTCCCACATCACTTGCCAAAATAGAACTGCTATCAAGAGACAGAACTAAGAGAAAAGTAGAAGTAGAGATGGCCTTTTTGCGACAACTTCCTTCTTTTAGTTGTCCTGTCATTAAAGATAGGCTGGTTAGCACCTGATTCATCTCTGGGTGTTACAAGCTAGCCTTGTCATTTCTAGCAAATTCCACTACAATGAAATCTAGCACTTCTGTGCACTTCCTTATAAGGAAAACATTAAATTATTATGCTTCTCTCATGACCTTAGTGAATCCCTCCGCCCCTCTCAAAATAGGTCAGAAGACTTTTATGGGAAATAGCTATCAAAAGATTTGGTAGTTTTCTTTAAGAAACCTCATGCCTTTTCCTTTGAAATCACAATTGTATAGTTGTGAACTGTGCTTTTAAAGATCGCCTGATACAGTCTACACGTTTTATTAATGAGGAAAATGAGCTCCAAGTGACGTTTGGTCACTTACTCAAGGCCACGTTCTGAATTAGTGGCAGAGCCAGGATAGAACATTTGTTTCCAGATACTGGCCCCACAGGTTTTCCATACTAATACTATCCCCCCTGTGGTTTTCCTACTCACTCAACATCCTTGCCAAGATACCTATTACCCTGGGTAGACACTAGCTGCTATGGAAATTTAACTTACCAAAATTTTGGCCAGCTACTGGACCTATCACTTAAAACTTTGAGAGTGGAAGGAACTAGGAGTTTCTGGATTCCTTTTGTTCCTTTTATTGTGAATTACCCTGTGTCACTTTATGTTAATGAAAGGCTGATACCTTCAGAATCTTCCCTAAACCATAAATTAAAGATGGAAAACTTGCCTATATTTATATCAACAGCAACATTTTCTAAACTCTAAAGTCAGAAACTGCCTCAAACCTCTATAATTCTCAAGATGGTAAGTAAAACTACCAATAGCTTTTGGGAGTGAAGTTTTAAGATGCAAAGATCAACATCTCATTGAACTTTGACTTTCATCATCATCCTCTGGCAAAGAGGTTTCTAAAATTTTCATTTGGTCTCAACTTTAACCTATTCCTCTCTTGCTAACCTCGCTTAAAAAAATAATAAAAGTATGGAGATCACTTTTTGCATATCAGGTCTTCCTCAAATGTTCTACCTACTCTGCACTTTAGTTTTTATGGCCAACTACACTATCACTGACACCTTTGACGTTTACATAAAATTCATTAACAGATAGCCCACTATTTCCCCTCAAGAGCGTAGAACATCTTGGCTGCTGGATTTGATTTTCCTTCAGGGATGCTGAGTTCTATTCTCATACCTCAATGCATGCGTTTTACTTTTAAGTGTTTCACAACCAGCTCCTTGGTTTTCTGAGGAAACGTGATCCAGTTAACAGAAGGTGTGGAATCTATTCCCATCTCAGCTAGGCCTGAGGCAGGCTGGGAGCCCGGATAATCCGTGAAAGCCGCCCACCAGCCCACCGGACAGGAAGAATGTGGGTGGGACACCAAGTGAGAAGAGAAACGAAAGGTGTTGGCACTGAAACCAGAGTTGTATTAGACCCTGCTGATGCTAGGAACCCACGCGTCCGCTCTTCCCAAGCATCTACCGCGTGTGCAGTCCAGGCCTCTAATTGCTTTAACGTAACCTTATGAAGGCAACAGTTCGAGTCCTGCCACTCTGGCCACACTGTAACACTTTAGACCAGAAAAGGAACAAAATGCCACTGCATAGTCTATTCAACCTCAAGGTATTTCTAAACAGTTCTTACCCAGCCAAAAAAGAAAAATCTAAACATAAAAACATTGAAAAGCCACCCACATCTCGTTCTGAAGTTTTAAGGGCTGTGAGGTTTAGTGTCAAGGAGATTTGAAGTTAACGATGGTAGGTTTGGGGAGTCTCGCCAGCGATGAGGGTCCTGCAACGAGACGCGGTTTCTGTGTCTCCGGTAAGTCCCAGGCTCGGTGTGAGGGTGCCAGGCCCTGCCCCTCCGCGCCCCGAAATCCGAACCCCAGGAGAGCCCCCCCTCCCCGGATATCCCCTAGCCCTGCCTGCGATTCCCACGGGCTTTACCCCAAAGCCGCGGAGACCCAGGGTGGCAGCCCGAATGGCGGCAGCCCCGGGCCCATGGGGACCCTTGGCCCCGTACTCACCGAAGTCCAGGAACTGTTTGATGGAGAGCGGCGACGGCGAAAAGCGCGAGTAGCGCTCGATCTGCTTGGGCACCGGCTGCTTCAGCAGCCACCGGAACAGCCGCATCCTCGCCGGGGCGGCTCACAGACCCGCCGAGACGCTCGAGTAGCCGCAAGGGCTGGCGCAGCCGAGCCGCCAGGACCTCGCACGTTCGCTAAGCCCGCACCCCGGCCTCCGTCTCGGCCTCGGCACCGCCGGTGCAGCCGCCGCAGAAGCAGCAGCAGCTCCCGGACCGCCACCGGCCGCCCGCCGCTTCCCTAAGCTCCGCCTCGTTAGGCGGAGCCTTTTGTTGCACGTACGCGGCGCGCGAGGGGCTGCGTGGAGCGCGAGGGGCACGCGGCCGCGCGCGCCCTACACTGATTGGCCGCCACCGCCTCTGTGACGTTTTTTTATGTTGTTGCGGAGTGCGGCGCGGGGCCCTAGCCCCCCGCCCTGGCTCTTGGGGCTCAGCCCAGCCCAGCCCAGCCCAGCCCAGCAAGTGTAGCCGCTTTCGGCTCCGCCCCTGACAGGGTTCTCCGCTGCCTAAAAGGTAGCCGAGGTGCCCGCGGACTGGGAAGAGGCCGGGAGCCAGGAATTCGATCCTCCGTGCTGCTCAAAAGCCTTCTCAACCGCAGGCGCCTTTTCTGGGAGGAGGACTTGCAGTTCCAGATGTTCACTGCATCTTGCCACTTAGATTTTACAGCCTAACTAGACTGTTTTATGCCCTCCATCACTACTGCCACTTTTGGACAGAATTTAATGAAACCTCACAGGTTCTATTTTCTGACCGCTTCCTACCATTGGACAGCCTTAATTGTCATTTCACTGACTCTTATGACATGGGCCCCCCAGCTCCACCCCCACCTCACTCCCGAGAGAACACCTTTGGACGGGATTGTTAGGTCCCTGATTCTCTTGTTTCCTGGTTCCTTGCCCCTTCTTCCCACACAAGATAAGTCACTGGTTGCGTTTCATGTCCCCTCCCCACCACCATTGGACGGGATCCATTGTGAGATCAAGGGTCACTAACACCCCCCATACACCCCCAATGTCACTGGACAATATAACTGCAAGGTCACTGATTCTGTTTGATGCCCCCCAGCCCCACTACTACCATTGGAAAGAATCAAATAAGCTCACCGACACTCTCTTTCATACCTCTTCTCTACCACCAACACCATAGGACAGCTCCCTGACTGCTTCACAATTCACTACCACTTTTGGACAGGAGTCTATGCTTACACAGTGTTGGGTATTCTCAAGTAAACTTGAGAGCCTGGCATGGTGGCATGCACCTATAGTCCCAACGACTCTGCAGGCGGAGGTGGGAGGATCACTTGAGCCCAGAAGTTCAAGATCTGCCTAGGCAACATACCCAGACCCGCCTCTAAAAAAAAAAAAAAAAAACCTCAGGACTCAATATATGAAATTGTTATTTCCTATTATGAATGAATAAAGTACTGCTTGCTTTAGCCATTTCCACCAAACCTTGGCTTTTTTTTTTTTTTTTGGCAATATGTAAACATAAACATACATAATTAAGAGGACGGGAAGAACGTTCTTTAAGGCAAGGTACAAATGTGACTGGAAGCCACTCCATGGGTCTTTACTTGGACTGGTTTCTCACTGAATGAGATTATTGGTGGGTAGCTATTTAGCTTTTGTGCCCTCATTGGATGTTTATGCAGCCAGTTCTTTGCTTAATAAAATAGTTGCATGTCTACTCTGAATTTAAAGAAAAGTAACATACATGGTAAAAGACATCCAGTGGTCTTCTAGACTTCTGGATTTTCAAGAACATATTGGTCATCTTGGCAGTGGTATGGAGACTACCATGTCTTTTCCATTCAAATCGAACCAAAGGATAAAAAAAAGACATACTAACAACTTCTTTAACCAGGAGTATTACCAGAAGAACTAAGCAATCCAGTTGTGTGCATGGGCAGGACGAAGAGAAGACCAGTGGCCTATGGTGTCCAAAGTGACTCTCAGGTGCTACCTGGAAGTGGAGCGGTAATTGGTGACAGTTGTTGGTGAGCAGGAAGAAGCTGGATATTTGTGGAGAGGGAGATTTTCTCAGCCTAAGCAACAAAGGGCTGATCTTTCTGAGCTTCCAAATCACTTGTTTCACTTCTTCCTTTTCCACTGCACAAAATGCTACTTAAAATCCATTCTGTTGATTTATTTAAACTTTTGTGTGCCTAATTTTATTTCTGCTTCTTCAAAATGTGACAAAGTTCTAGAAGTTGGGAACAATATGAAAGAACCCGATATAATGTAAAATGTGCTTAAACAAGGCTACAGTCACCTAGACTGTGTTGCAGTTATTTTTGTGTCAGATTAAGATACCTGATTTCTCTCCCTGGCATTTGTGACAGTCAAATCAAATTAATCATATCTAATATAAATACAAGGTATTGCACCTCTTGTATACAGCAATGCATATATTTTTACCTAATAGTTTCATGATAACTTGCAGAGTCCAGAAGTGAAACCAGTGTGTTGATAAATAGATCTTGATGACGTCTTTTCAACTCCTTGTACACACCAAGGTCTTGTGCAGACCCCACTTGCTGTGGCTCTCAAAAGTGAAATCCCTAGACCTGCGGCAGCAGCATCACGTGAGAACTTGTTCGAAATGCAAACTCGGGCCAGGTGCAGTGGCTCATGCCTGTCTAATCCTAGCGTTCTGGGAGGCAGAGGCCAACGGGTTGCTTGAGCTCAGAAGTTGGAGACCAGCCTAGGCAATATGGCAAAACTCGTCTCTACTAAAAATACAAAAATATTAGCAGGGCATGGTAGTGCACTCCTGTAGTCCCAACTACTTGGGGGGGGCTGAGATGGGAGGATTGCTTCAGCTCAGGAGGTGGAGGCTGCAGTGAGCCAAGATTGCACCACTGCACACCAGCCTGGGTGACAAAGTGAGACCCGGTGTACAAAAAAAAAAAGGAAAGAAAATGCACGCATGCAAGAGAGAGAGAGAGAGAGAGAGAAGGAAGGCAGGAAGGGAGATAAATGCAAACTCTTAGACCCCCTGCAGCCCTACTGAAGCAGATCTATGTTTTAGCAAGCAATGGGGGTTTTAAAGATATGGCCACAAATTCTTTGATACTCCTCAAGAGATGGAGCTTAATTCCTCTCGGTTTGAGTGTGAGTTAGACTTAGCTAAAGCTTCTAACAAAGAAGTGTGTGGCCAGATCTACGGCCATATCGCCCTGAACGCGCCCGATCTCATCTGATCTCAGAAGCTAAGCAGGGTCGGGCCTTGATAGCACTTGGATGGGAGACTGTCTAGGAATACAGGGTGCCTGCCGTAGGCTATATTAAAAAAAAAAAGTGGCCAGAAGTGATAAGATCTCACTTCAGAGATTAGTTTGTAAAATAACTGGGGTCCTACAAAATACCTGACCAGTACTTCTCAAAACTATCAAGGTCCTTCAAAATAAGGAAAGCCTGAGAAACTGTCACAGTCAAGAAGACCCTAAGGAGATATGACAACTAAATATAATGTACTATCCTGGTTGGGATGCTGGAACAGAAAAAAGGATATTAGTAATGAGAAATGTTTGAGGTGATTTGATCACTCAACATTGTATATATCAATACGTCACTATATACCCCATAGATATGTCCAATTATTATGTGTCAATTAAACAAATTTTAAAGGATGTTAGGTTAGGGAGAGATTTGTTAAAGGATACAAAGTTATAGCTATATAGGAGGAATAAGTTCTAGTGTTCTATAGCACTGTAGGGTGACTATACTTAAAAACAATGTATTGTATGGTTTCAAATATATAGAAGGAGAATATTGAAGTTCCCAACACAAGGAAATGGTAAATGTTTAAGATGATGAATGGTAATTACCCTGATCTGATCACTGTAACCTCATAAATATGCACAACTATTATTTTTAAGTTTAAAAATACAATTAGAAGTTTAAAAAATAGGCCAAGTGCAGTGACTCATGCCTGTAATCCAGCACTTTGGGAAGCAGAGGTGGGGGGAATCACCTGAAGTCAGGAGTTTGAGACCAACCTGGCCAACGTGGTGAAACCCCGTCTCTACTAAAAATACAAAAAGTAGCCGGGTGTGATGGCGGGCGCCTGTAATCCCAGCAACTCAGGAAGCTGAGACAGGAGAATCACTTGAATCCAGAAGGCAGAGGTTGCAGTGAGCTCAGATCACGCCATTGCACTTCAGCCTGGGCAACAGGGTGAGACTCCGTTTCAAAAAAAAAAAGGAAAGAAAAGAAATTTTAAAAATAAAGTTAATATAGGCAATCATTCCAGCTAAATGGAATAAAATGTTATAAAAACAAATGAACAAAGGGATATTAGGTAAAACTAAGGAATTCTAAATAAAGTATAGACTTTGGACCAAATTTGTTTAATAGTAATATATCAATATTGGTTCATGAATTATAGCAAATGTACCATTTTAATGCTCCCTGACTCCCTACCTGTCTCCCACTTCCCACCTCTCTCTCTCTCTCTCTCTCTCTCTCTCTCTCTCTCTCTCTCTCTCTCTCTCTCTCTTCCCGCTATGATCCTCCCCCTGTGGAGCCTTGAGATGACAAAGCTCTAGCTAATGCCTTGATTGACACCTCATTGTAACCTTGAGAGAGACCCTGAGTCAGAACCACTCAGCTAAGCAGCTCCTGGACTACTTCTACCCCCAGAAATCCTCACAGTTTGTTGTAATAAGTGTTTATGGTTTCTAGCTGCTAAGTTTCTGAATAATCTGTTATGCAGCAACAGTTAACTAATATACAAGCCCTCCAGGTAATTCCTTTTTTTTTTTTTTTTTTGAGACAGAGTCTTGCTCTGTCACCCAGGCTGGAGTGCAGTGGCACGATCTTGGCTCACTGCAACCTCCGTCTCCCAGGTTCAAGTGATTCTCCTGCCTGAGCCTCCTGAGTAACTGGGATTACAGGTGTGTGCCACCATGCCTGGCTGATTTTTATATTTTCAGTAGAGATGGGGTTTCGCCATGTTGGCCAGGCTGGTGTCAAACTCCCGAGCTCAGGCAATCTGCCTGCCTTGGCCTCCCAAAGTGCTAGGATTACAGGCATGAGCCACTGCGCCCAGCCATCTCCAGGTAATTCTGATGCACCTCAGGTGTGAAAACCACTGTCCTACCCTAACCACTCTAATCTTACTCCCTATTCCTTCCAGCTAATGCCTCAGATCTCAGTGTAATCATCACTTAAATGGAGGCCTTCCTTGAGCATAAAGTCAATTTCTTCCCCTTGCCCTATGTTTTCTCGATTCTCTCTGCTTCCCGCTATAACTCTCCAAACACTTTGTCATAATTTAATCAATC